CGCCATTTCGTGTTTTATTTCGTAAGCCCGGGCATTGATCCATCCTCTGACATTATAGGCTCTCTGGAACAGTGGGTTGATTGTTTTGTCCGTCAGGATTTCGTTTGCTGCCGTTTCCATCTGTAGTAGAAGTGAAACTGGGGAAATTTCTTTCTTCAGTTTAGCAACAGACGTCAACGAAATTACTAGTCTTCAATCACACCGCATCGATAGTTTATGTTAAAAAGTACCCTAAGAGTGGCCTTAAGCAATTCAATTATGTTTTTTTTTTCTTTTTAAACGACGGTCGCTCAAAATTGGCGTCTTTCTTTTATCATTTTCTGATCGTTTATCAAGCAATTTATCTTTTCGCTGCCATTGAAACAGATGCGAAGAATTTTACAGGAAGAATTGGAGTAATCGAACTAGTTCTGCGTACAGTGATGTATCTGATCAGGTATTTTCGAGGTATTATGTGGGTAGATTGTTAAATAAAATCACTTCTGTCAGAAAATTAGTGCCCACGAATCGCTGTAGAACGTGAGGAAGCCTTAATTTCCACACAATTGAAAGGAGTTTGGGCGGAGTTAACTCCGCCCACGCTCCTCCTGAAGAAGGCACCAGACAAGAGTGTCGAAACGTTGGGTCTGTGAATTGTAACTTCTTCGGCTACATTCAATAAATTTGTAGACCAGAGTAGCATCAAACCATGTCTGATTGTCCACCTAGTTGCAATGTGAACTTTAATATATCGGTAGAGTACTTTTACTCCTCAATACACTACAGACGGCAACGGTGGGGTACGGAAGGACCTGGATCGAGAACGGCGTTGTTCCCGCCAAAAACAAACCTTTAGGCGCGTCCATCACTTCACGACGGCATTAGTACTAACGGTCATCAGTCGCAGAGTCTTTTCACGGATTTTTATCTGTAATATTTTTATATATAATTTAAATTAAAAATGGACAAGTTTTAAAATGTTCGAGATTTGCTTCAGCTAACTCACGATGAAAACACCATTTCTGATGAGAAATTCGTTCTTCATATCAAACTCTTTCCCCAGCGCGACGAACATTTGTTTTTCTCGGTTCCAGGTGTACGCGACCACTAAGCCTTCGTGATGCATAAACATGCTCTCTGTTGCGAATTTTCAAAATGGCGGACAGGCTAAAGAGGGAAATAAAAAAAGCAAAGCGATTTTTCAACAAATACTTGACATAAACCCCCGTTAGAAAGGCGAATCCACAATAGAAAGATACAAAACTGTATGATATTGAGATCAGGGAGGTTGACAAAATCAACAAGAGAGGTTGAAAATTCATGACGTTGGCTATAGCACATGCTTCGATGAATGGACACCCTTGAGGGCCGATAGAGGATCTGGATATTTTCCGTTTGTTCGCAGCGAAAAGTTGTTCATTCCCTCGGAAAACTCTCTAGAGGATAGAAAAGAATCGTTCCATGGCCAACTTGCTCGTGAAATAAAGAAAAAGCTTTGGTCTGGACGGCGAGAGGACCCTGATATAAACATAGACCTTAATGTTGACCAAGATGTTTTCATGGAAGGTGTTGGGAGTGTTTTGCCCGGCGTTCTTCAACGAGGGAAGATAGTTTACCAATCGGAGTCAAATAGGGTGCTTGATTCATATCTGGGGCTGAAGTGGGATGAAAGAATTTTAAATGTAGCTGAAGATTTTGCCTATGTAATTCCAGGAACTATTTAGTATCGGCTGGGACAAAGAAGTCCAATCATTGAATACGAGCTCATCGTTGTAGGTGTTCTTAAACCCTTTCATAACCTGCTGCCTCCAGGAACTGAATCCTGTTTTTCTTCAGAAACAGTTGTTTGAGGGCATCAACCCCTTTGTGAATTGTGGATCTGAAGAAATCTTTAGAAGCTCTATTATTGTATTTTTCCAAGCCTTGCTGTGTGTAATATGCTATGTTCTGATAAAGTGACAGGAACTCAGGAACATGATAACATAGTGCATGCATGTAGGGAGTGACATCTTTTGCTTGGTAAACTTTGAGAAAGTGCTCAAACCATGATTTGCTATTTCTTTGCAGTTCAAGAATACCCTCTTCAGATGTAAAATCTAGCCTCAAATCACCAATTATGTCCATAAATTTAGCCCAGATCACTTGTATGTCTTTGTTTTGACAAGCATAGGTCAGAATTTTTATATTCTGAAAGAGTTTCAACTTTTCTGGTTCAGTAAGATCTCTATATTCCAGCTTTTTGCTCTCTTTGTTGATTCTAAAATTAAAAGTGATTCCCATACTTTTGATAAATTCTTCATAACATGCCATGTGTTTATATTTATCTCTTGGGAATCTATCATAAGTTTTTTTTCTTGTAAACAAGTTAATCAAAACATCTGAAATCCTCAGAAAAAAATGTAATATATCTATGATGACAAGGTCCATAGGTATAAAATCAAATAATGGTTGTGCCTTACAGTTTAATTTCCTTCCAGTGGAAAACCTTGCTATTTCAGTGACAGTTCTAGCACCAAATTTGGGGTCATTAATTGACCATGTTTTGCTTGTGTCCCACCATTGCTCCCTGGGACACTTGCACCACACACAAGCATAATCCTCATTTGCCCTGCCTAAACCACATACCAGTGCTAAAAATTTCAAATCTCCACCTAAAAAGTATTCAATTTTATAGGTGCAATTATTTGCACTTATCTCCTTTAAGTTTGACATTTCCATTTGAAGGTCTGCTAGGCTGTCTCTCAGATTATGATATGTCTCTGTAGTTTTTATAACAGCAAGTACATAATTTCCCTTCTCAGCCATTGCCACATCCTTTTCATTGAGAATAGTAAATGTGAAGTTGACAACTGTAAGCTGCTTTCCAATATTTGTACCATCACCGCTAAGCTTGATCTTAATAGTTTCTCCATCATTGATTTCTCCATTCTTCTGAAGCCTAACAATGTGCTCTTGCAAACTTTCTGCAAATCCTAACTGAACACCTTCAGCATCTCCTGGTGTTGGTTTCAAGTTCCATTTACTGTTTAGCTCATTAATTCGCTTCTTGATGGAATATGTATTGGGGAGACCATTAGCCTTAATGGCAATTTCATGCCAGGCCTCATTTGAAATATTGAATTTATCTTTGAGGTAGAGCCACATATTTATGTTATCAATGTCATAATTATCAAGGGCCTTTGGGTCAGACTCTGTAAATGGTAGCTCTCCCTCTCCAACAAGATTGAAAGTTTCATATTGATTAGTCTCAGTGTTGAGGACTTCAATTTTGGTTGCAACAAAATTGTACAGCCCAAGAAAAGAGAGTGTAGTTTGGCACTCGTCCTTCAGTTGGTTTTTAATTCTCTTTTGATGGTGCTTAGAATAGTCATTAAACTTCTTCTTAGCAGGGCCTCTACCTTTTTTCCCATTTTTAATCACTTTTTTGGCCAATTGAATAAATTTTTTCTTGTAGAAGGCCCCTTTCTTCTCAGCTTTCTCGAGAGCTTCTCGGGCTTTTTCATCCACTCGCAATCGCTTTGCCTTCTCCTGTACCAACGATTCTTCTAATTTTCTTTTTTCTCCCCTTAACTGGCTGTTCTCATCTTTAAGCTGATGCACATCAACCTCGTTGTAATACACCTTAAATCGATACCGAGGGCCCGCTTCCAAATTGCTAAGAAGTGCATTTAATTGCCTTCCGCCACGATTACTAGCTTTCTTGACAGCTTTCTGAAGGCTGAATATTTTCTTTCTGAAGACTTCTGAAATGCGGCTATTGATTATTACACCTCGTATACCTGATTGCTCAAACACTTTGTTTACGATTGTTGAAAGGACCGACTCATGGTTTTCTCCGTCTTCGTCTTTACATTGCTTTGAAATAGTATAGATTAGTAAGCTGAAACGAAAAATTAATCGGGGAAGTTTACGAAAAATACAGCCAACAAGCTTAGAAAAGGCATTTATTTAGACTTCATACTGCGACAAACTTCACAAATCTTACTTGTTTATCTCGTAAGTAAACGATGGCAGATTAATTCCCGAAGCGCTCTCTGATTTTCCAGATCCCTCTCCTACTGCTTTCACGCTTACAAAACAGGAAAAAATCAAAAGGAGGAAGATACAGCTGTTTTGAAACGCCATTTGACGAGGGTAAATCTGCTTTTTGTTCGACACTTTACATATCAAAACAAAGGAAATTTGTTACTCTTTTTGATTCTGGCGGTACATTTTTAATTTGCGCCTGCGTAAAAGAGATATCTTTTGAGACCCTTCGCTTGGTTGTGTTTTGATCAAAAACGCCTTGTTAATTTCACGCAACCGCTCGGAGAAAAGGTAAAAATGACGGGGGTAAATCTGCTTTTTGTTCGACACTTTACATATCAAAACAAAGGAAATTTGTTACTCTTTTTGATTCTGGCGGTACATTTTTAATTTGCGCCTGCGTAAAAGAGATATCGTTTGAGACCCTTCGCTTGGTTGTGTTTTGATCAAAAACGCCTTGTTAATTTCACGCAACCGCTCGGAGAAAAGGTAAAAATGACGGGGGTAAATCTGCTTTTTGTTCGACACTTTACATATCAAAACAAAGGAAATTTGTTACTCTTTTTGATTCTGGCGGTACATTTTTAATTTGCGCCTGCGTAAAAGAGATATCGTTTGAGACCCTTCGCTTGGTTGTGTTTTGATCAAAAACGCCTTGTTAATTTCACGCAACCGCTCGGAGAAAAGGTAAAAATGACGGGGGAAAAACTTTACCTTCAAGTTAGAAAATTAGCGAAATAGAAAGCCAAAATATTATAGTTTAAAATTTCAGAGGTACATTGAGTGCTTTTTCCGTAGAGAATTCGCACGATGGTAAAATATTCGAAAATTACACTCGATTTGAGTGGGGCGTTGAACTGGGCGTGGTCACTATATTCATGTTAAGACTATTTGTACCCTATGAGTAATGAGTATCATCTCGAAGGTTCGTCCCTTTAAAATATATTTGTGCACCTGCTGAGTATAGTGAGTAAACTTATCGTCACATCTACAGCTCACTTCCTCACCTTGGCTTCCTCGATAGCTTTTTGTGGAAGACGAATTCTGGGGAAAGCATACAAGGCACCAGTTACTTCATTACACGTCACTCCTTCTAAAGAATTCAACACTGAAGTGGTGATTTTCGCTTTCCTTTGGTAAGAGTCCAAAATGGCCGTCTTCTCCTACAAAACAAAAGTAAAAATATACTGAAGTCTTTCATAAGATAGAGATAGAGAGTTAAGTAGAGATAAGATGTTTATTTATAATCGCTTTGCAACTAAAAAAATTGAACTACACGATTATTAAATAGGATAATATCGATAATAATAATAATAACATTGAAAAGAACTATAAGTGGTTTAAACCACGTTTCAACAAAAATTGGTTTGTTACATTTATAAATAGAATATGTCGATTAAATATAAAAGTCCAATTAGCTAGTTTAGGCTTTTATGACATTAACAGTGATAATCGTGTCACGAAATCTTCTTGTCTAGATCTTGAACACGGGCCTAAACTGCCGTTTGTTTCCAAGGTTCAAAGTACATGTGTTACGAGCCTTAGAAACAAACGGAAGTTTGTTTGCCTCACCATCATTGACTGATTTTTGGTCTCTGGTGAGTTTCCCGCAAGAAATTTTAAAATTGTAAAAAATCACTTTATTCAGTATAACTACGTAACAATTATTTAGCAAACATGACTATAATCTAAATCAGTTAACAAAGTCTTTTAACCCTTTAACCCCTAAGAGTGACTGGCATCTAATTTCTCCTTACAATATCACCCCTGAGTCACACTTTAAGGTCACGAGAATAAAGGAAATGATCACCAACTAAAGAAGCTCTTGATTGTTAAACAAATTCTCCTTGTCAGCAAGTTAGGAAACGTGTAGAGAACAGTATGGAGAATATGCATACTGATGTTAGACTGACTGTACTCGACCCTTAATGGCCATCTTAACAATTTTACATCCATTAAAAAAATGTGATTACAGTTTGCAGGAAAAGGAGCCGTATCCATGAGAGAATTTATCGATAGGGATCCTTATTCATGAATAACCTTATCAAAAAGGAAATCACACCATTAGGAACCTTGTCCTTAAGGAACCTTATCCCTAAGAAACCTTCTCCATAAGGAACCTTATCCCTCAGGAACCTTATCCTTGACCTGTCAATGAAGGATAAAGAGTCACGATAGTTTGTGGTACAAAGGATTCTTATTCATAGGATACCCTATCCACAGGGATCCTTATTCATTATTACTTTAACGGAACTTAGTCCGTAAAGAGTATGAAGTACAGTTAACAGTACAAAGGAAGCTTACTCCACAAGGAACCCTATCCTTCACGTACCCATAAAGGATAGGAACTAAAGCTTGCAGGACAAAGGGACCTCATCCAAGGGGAACCGTACCATAAGGAACCTTGTCTACAAGGATTTCTATTGCTTGGCGAGATAAACGACCAGTATGATATTTCAAAGTTCTTCCTTTGACTGCGAGTATTTCTTACCCAAAAAGGGCAAAAAACACATAAATACAGGCAGAAAAGAGGAATAATTGAATGATTGGCTTATAGATCTATAGCCGATTTGATGAGTAATTTTACTCTAAAAATAATTCTTCCTTGGAGTTAACTCAAATATAATTGTATCCAGACCTTCGCTACAAACCTGTATAAAAGTTTCATAAGACTCGTCTCCAGGCTGAGGCGGACAACAAATTAAATTTATGGCAGCCTTGAAAATAGAAAAAAAATTCAAGCAAGGCTAAGTACATGATTTTGTTCTTCTATCTTTCAAGCAACGTTTCACTTTCCCTTCAGTCCTTGTACAGAAGTCAAAAAGCCGTTTCAGTACAGCAGATATACGTAGGGGTGCATGGTTTGGTACTTCTCTCTGTATGTGAAATCTCCCATTTTGTGAAAAGAGATAACATTCATTAGACGTTCAAACGGTTTGGCTTACTCACCGTTCTGTTCCTGTTAGACTAAGTGCTTCATCATGAGGTTCTCTACATGCTTAAAATTAAGAAACTTGAAATAATACCTGCCCAATAGTCAAGCCACTAACACTTGGTGACATCAGATTTCTAAACTGCAGTTTGACCGCGTTGCTAAATCCGACCAGCTCAAGATACCCTCCCCTCAAACCACACCTATAAAAGTAAAATAAATGAAATGATTCTTAAGCTGAGAGAAAACATTTACTATTAGAGCGTGCGTGTTATTCGGTATTTAACCTGCGTTTGCACATATCGTCCTTTCGCCCAAATTAAAGTAGTATAAATATCATGTTCACGAACTCGAAAGCTAAGAAATCTTGTAAAGAAATTTCACGTTGAACATCTTAAAGCATATTTTTGGCGTACCGCAAACAACCCGTTAAGACCCCTTCCTTCCCTGCCTCTTAACGAAAACTCCAAATAAAACACGGGTTAAAATAGAATAAGTGATGATAATAAGAATTTTTACAATTAATTATGCCGCAGTGTTGTTCATAATGTGGCCTCTCCACTCACTCGCCATAAAATCCTTTAGAGGCGGAGTTGAGCGACATCAATTGAAAGTTATTGTATTCAGGTCCCAGGTCCCTCAAAACCTTTTTGCACGAGTGGAATTGGACTTCCTTTGTAAAGACTGTTTCCTGGTACACTTCATCCGCAAATAAAACCAGTTTCTCTCGCGCACAAAACTTCATGACTTCCTTTATGTTGTCGTAACTCAAAATCTGTCCTGAGTATGAAAGATAGACGAAAAGGTCATCCTATGACTATTAATATGGGTGGCCAATCACAGGTTAAAGAGACCTCCGAAATGGCGGTTGAGGCAACACAGGAATTATAAAAACACCAACACGAGTATCCATTATTTACCAATTTTACAATGTATCAATAAACTACGTGTGGGTTCTGCCGAAAAGGCAATATTGAAAATGTAATAAATATAAAAATAAATAGAGAACTTCTTTGCCTGTGGAGGATATTCTTAATCTGCTGTCTTTTTGCTTCAAAACCACGCAATTTACATACAACGGCACCTACTATCAAAGGGTTTTTGGCACAGATATGGGTTCTCCCGTCTCTGCTGTCATTGCCAACATAGTAATAAAGACGTCGAACAAAGGGCCTTAGCCACTTCATACCTCCTATCGCACTTAAATTCAATAGAGCCGTCTATCCAATTCACCCTTGAGCATGAAAAGAATAGACATTTGCCCTTTCTTGATTTAAATGTGTACAGAGGGGAACAGGGGAATTTAGAGACAAGTGTCTATCGTAAACCTACCCACAACGACAAATACCTCGCTTTCGATTCTCACCACCCTATTTGCCATAAAAAGTCTGTAGCCAAAACTTTACTCAGGAGGGCTGAGTAAATTGTGATAACGAGTATATCGGACGGACCAAACGTCAGTTTAGTAGACGTTTGAAAGAGCATCAAAAGGAGTCTTCTTTTGCAAAAAGAAAATTCAGCTTTATCGGTGGAATAAGTCTAAAATTATCACCACTAATCAACGTTACCACCGGCGCCTTCGTTTGGAAGCCTGGCATATCAACTCCGCCCACGCTCCTTTAAATCGTGCTAATGGCGGCTTATTTTCCTGACGCCTATTTGTACCTCGTCAGGTTACATTCATTAAATCTTTAAATCAGAGTAGCATCAAACCATGTCAGCAATAAACTAATTTGTCGGTATCTGTGCGTTATATACTAAAACAAATGGTGGATATTTACCGAGCCGCGAGGCGGCAAGCTATAGGTGTCCACCACTATTCACCTCCACTTCAGTGAATGATTGATAATTACCATATGACCCATACGGCCCCGCGCGCGCAATCCCATAGAAAACCATGTTGAAAGCTGACGTTTGTACGACGGATTGACGTGAGTCGATCCGGAAAAAGCCATTCGGCCCTGCACTAACACTGCTTTGTTGCAAAAACTTGAAGGAAAAAAGGGTAAAAGCATAGGCGCGTTTTTAATGAATTGTGATTTATTTGCTCTGACTCGAAAAACACAAAGGAAAATTTTTTTAATAGTAGAATATTTTTTGTTGTTCTCCCGCGTGCGCCCGTGTATCGCGTCCTACTATGGCTGAACCAAATTTTCGAAATTTTCAACGCTAAGTGGTCATGTGATAAAATGCTTATTGACTGACTTTGGTCTGGCTGGACGGGTAAATATGCTCGCTGCGTTCAGTCCGTATATCGTGACCTCGAGCCAAAATTTTTTTCCGTGCGTTACGTTTGGACAATTTTCATTATTTCTTATTTCCCCTTTGGGAGTGGTTACTCTTGAGAACAAAAAAAAAACATCAGGTTTTCTACTTCACTCATTCGTCATCAGGTTCATCTCCAACCACAGCACTAGTTACCATGGTTACAAACGTATGTCTCACCTGTAGGATTACCGGGATTAATCAGTACCAGTCCTCTTGGTTCACAGTGCGGCCTAGCCTCATCTATGGCTTTCTTCATTTCACCGATGTCCAAAGACCAGTTATTTTCTTCTTCCAAATAATAAGGGATCTGAATAGAAAGATCAGTTTTAGCGCAGCAATCATAAGCTGGGTCATTCCTCTTATGAACTCTAATTTACATGAATCACTGATTGGTATCAGACCTTTATCTATTCTAATTTTTTCTTCTGTTAAGTTCTACTTGTCCAATAATGAAGCACTAAGATACAAAGAATAAGAAACGATAAACTGAAGAGTATTCAAATGAATCAATAGAGAGATGCCTGTTGTAAGTATTCAACACAATGTCAGCATTACCTCGTAGAGGTTGAATTCTACAATCTTTGACTTGTAATGAGGAAAAACTGGAATGGGAATCATGAGTCCTGGCTTAAGTTTGCCGTTCGGCATATCAGTACCAAGGGATGCGAGGGCTACCTGTAGAAGAAAATTTAGAAGAAAATGTAAACTGCTCTGAGATGAAACAAACCTTGCGTGGTAATCGCAGCATTTCTAGTTATTTAAATTAAAGAACTACTTTTCACAAACACTGCCACCCTACGCAGGCGGGTAGCCTACATTGTACATACACATAGTGACCTTATAATTCGTTACTTATGTCAACCTTACTGAAATTTCTTTCCCTTCTTCTCCGCATCCTTTGAATCTGAAAAGCCTAAATGGGACTGTTAACATGATTTCTCGACGTCGTACCTCAACCGTTGCTCTATTTTATGCATCGTTTTAAAAGTAAAGTTGATGCAATCTGAGGCATGTAGGTAACTTGAAAAGACTGATATCTGCAACAGTTGCTACTCTGAAATGTTCATGGTCTCGTTAAATTTCAGTGGAGCTGGGCAAGGTTTTGTTTTGCTAATTTCGTTTGATGTAAAAAACAAATGGGTTCCATTTTCCCTTGTTTCTGTTCAGTTAAAGCGCACACATGAGCCCAAAAAGTGCTACAAACAACAGTGGCAAACTTGTCCAAACCACATTTTTCGTTTTAACCAAATTTCGCTTTCATCACGTTTTTGTACCTGTGATATACAACTGAGCAGACACATGACTTTGATCGGCAGATTAACTGCAACCCAGTAGAAAGAGTACTGGTCTCTAACCTTGATTCCTATCGCCCCTCCATGAGTTAAAATGACGTCATCAACGTCAGCTGGGTAACCATCTCTTCTCGAAATGTATTTGGCTACATCCTCGCGAATGAGTCTTAATCCAATAATATCTGTGTACGAATCTAATAAAATATACATTATTATAGATAGTGATGTCCTTCAAAACAATGTGAATTGATATTTAAAATCATTTATAAGCACAAAAAATAACTGAAATTTAGTTGATTTCTGTCTTTTTTAGTACTTTTTCTCGCAAGAACACAGTATATGGAGTCTGTAAACAAATGAAACTTATAAAGGATATGAGAAAAGTACATATGATAATTTTTTACTAGGGTGGATAATATTCCAGCTTTATCACTACAGTGAGGTGAACAATTTTTTTAGTATGAACCACGTAGAAACTGAAAAAGTTCAAAACACCATTGGCATGTTTGGTATATACTAAATGAATTAAGCATACAGTAATTTCCCTCCTATACTGAAGCTCGCAGGTTCAGGGGCTTATGAAATTGAGATATCTAACAAGAAAGATTAACAATCTACTTTTGATAGATTTATAAAATTTAAAATCGAAAAGAAAGAAGGTTGAAAAGCACACAAGAAAACCAAATATCCAAACCAAACTGCACAGTGCTTCTCCCAAAGCAGCACAACGTAAAGGAAAGGATTAAAGAAGCAAAAAACAAAATCCGAAAAAAAAATTAATTAAAAAACTTTATAAAATCTACGCATAGAGCCTGTAGTAAAATTAATTTGCTACCTACTCATGGCAAAACTTGGTGTTGCCCTAAGATTCTGTGAGCCTTTCTTTTCACATCCCAAAGCAGCAAAACGTAAAGGAAAAGGTTAAAAAGGAAAAACAACAAAATCCGAAAAACATTCAATAACTTCATAAAATCTACTCATAGAGCCTGTAGTAAAATGAATTTGCTATATACTTATCGCAAAACCTGGTGTTGCCTTTAGGATTCTGTGAGCCTTTTCTTTCACATCCTTAGAGAATTGAGGGTCATCAAGAAATTGTGGACAAAGGAGACAGGCTAAACACTAAAGATACAAATAACCATCTTAGTAATCCTTATCAAAGTACCTTTCTTCAAGACTTAAATTGTTTTTTTTTCTATTTTGATGGAGAAGGTTAATTTTATTACTCAAGCTCAGCCGTAGGCAGCGAAGAGAGAAGGGAAATTTTTGGAGAGGGTTGTATAGAAGAGTGGCTAGTTTGAGAGGGAACGTTGTAGGAATGGGCTCATAAAAGAGAGGGTTCCCAATGGGGTTCTTCAATCCCGCGATCCCGACTAAAAATACAACCAAGTGAATATTCTTCACATCTAGAGTCTTGTAACTCAACAGGTTAAGAGCATCATATCGGTAAAATTCTGAGACTTTCAGGAGGTTTTTCAACGCCGTTAAGCATTTCAATTGACGCAGCAGTCTTAGACTACGTTTCCCTGTTGGCCATTGAGGATTTTTGATAAATTTGCAACTTCACTTCTGATATAATTTTCATTCCCGCGCAATAACTGAAGAGAGCCCGTATGCCTGGTGCTTCTCATGACTGAGAAGATCCATTTATTCATAAATTCTCGTCAACGGACATCCCGGTTCTAGGTTCGTTTAAGTGATTATTTCCCGAATCCTGCTCCTCAGAATCGCCGATTTCCGTGTCCCGTTCATAATAGTAATCCTGCATCTCGCTCCCTTCTTACTTTAAATTCCCGGATCCCGGACTCTAAATTAGCCTAATCCCGGATCCCGAAAAATCTATTGGAGACCCTCAAAAGAGGGGGCAGATGTGAAATTAGCTTAGTTGTAACAGTTAATTGTAAGGATAGAATTTTAACCGACTTAACATAGAGCGTCAGTTAAAATGCTCCTAACTTTCTTGGCATCAGCTTACTAACCTGTCTTACAGAGGTGATAGGTGACTGTCCAAATGCATGAGGGTCTCCATAATGTATTACAACCTCATCAAATGGTTTTCTTTCACCCTACAAAATAATGTGATTTTAGGGTTTCAGAGGAATTCTCTAGTACTTAAAGCTGCGGCTTTTTTGTTTTCTTTCGGAAAAGTTTGCCATGTTTGGTCTATGACTATGTGGTATCGAAACCATATGGATGACTGTGGGTAAGTTTTCACACAGCTAACCCAGAACAAAATGCCATGCTTTCATGTAAACTCATTCTGTAGTTTTTAATGTCTGATCATGTAACTAACTTTACACATGATAATTTTATGAACAATTAATGACATTACAGACTAGACAAATGAATTATATCAGCTCAAGACAAGCAAAAAGATTTTCCGAAGACGACAAAGTGAGGAAATCTTTACCACTCTTAACCCTGTAACTCCCATGAGTCTTCAAGACAGAATTTCTCCTTAAAACATCAGTACAGTTTCAAGCAGACAAGTGAAAAGTGATGAGAATAAAGAAAAATATAAATAAGAGGATTATTAGTTAATCCAATAACAAATCATCCAAACTCACATCACAAGAATTGTGTGACAGACAGTAAGGTAAACTACTATGTGACCTTAGGTGTGAAGGGGTTAACATGAACCCGAGTAGCCAGTGATGTGGACTAGCTAGTAAGTCGTCCTCTTCGGTAGGAAGAGTTAAGTGCCGTGGTTGTGAAAATTAAATGAAAGAAAATTTCTCGAAATTCAGTGTGGGAGAGTGAAAAATTATTTGTGGGAGAGAGGCACACAGCTAAGTGATGGCGGCAAAGGAAAGAAAAAAGCAGAACCGTTCGATATATTTATTTATTGCAGTAATGAAGCAGATCCAACTAGCTGCCTCTGCTGAAGCCCGCAAGAGCTGTTGGAGGAGAAATTACAAACAAGTCAGGGAAAATTTCTAGTGCCTTAAATTTTGGATGCTCGGATACACAACTTCTGTAACAAACAAGTCAGGGAAAATTTCTAGTTCCTAAAATTTTGGATGCTTGGATACACAACCTCTGTAACTTTCCAGAGTTTTCGTTTTGGTACTAAAGATTTGCCCTCACTTGTTTGTAATTTCATCTCCAACAGTTTTTTTGCTGTCTGACAGTAGAGGCAACTTTGGTCTGCTTCATTGCTGCAGCTTTCTTGCATGAATCAAAAAGTTCTGTATTTTTTTTCCTTTGCCGCCATCACTTTACTTAATGTCTCTCTCGCAAATAATTTTTTTCCTCTCCCAATTTGAAATTCGAGAAATTTTCGCTAGTTTTCTCTACCACTGCACTTTTCTCTTTATACCGATGAAAGCGCCTTCGCACCAGATCACTGAACCGCGAGAACTCGGAAGTGGCCTATTACTTTTGCGCTCTATGGCCTACACGACGCATTGAGTTATCCACGAACGTAGTGGAGATTTCGCAAATTGCAGTTTTTTAGAAATCTGCAATTTGCGAAATGGAAATATGCTAATGATTTGCAAAATAGAGATCTGTAATCTGAGAAATGGAAATATGCTGATGATATGCAAAATAGGGATCTGTAATTTGCGATTTCTTCCGAGTTCTCGCGGTTCAGTGATCTGGTACCGAAATAACGGCGTGAGGACGAGGCTAAGTGCGAAGGCGCTTTCATTGGTATAAAATCAGTCAAATTCTCATTAAAAATACCTCACCTCACTTCCACAGTGCATCGCTTTTTATCTGCCCGCTTACTATGTTTGAAAATAACCCATTTTAGCGAGTTATCCATATCTAGGTTTACTACGTACATAAGAGTCCGAACGCTTGATCCGAGAAGCGAAAAATCCAATCTTTAAACGACCGTGAAACCGATGCTACGCCGCAGTTTGCTTCAGAAATTTCCAGTTTAGACCAGACGTGACCGCTACGACTCTTATTTCGCAAGTTGATCATCTCACAACTGGAGCTTAGGTCGCCTGTAGTAAACTTACAAGTATAATTCATGGCGCGTGTCATCTGATGCATTTACATGAAAAATATAATATACTTCTAACTTTTCCAAATCTCCCTCCTTTTTCGGCCTAATTAGAATATCATAGAAAGAAAACTCAGATAATGTGTCAGCGGTGATTTGTTTCTCCTCTGACACTGATTTTCGAGTTAATTAAATTGTTTTCAAACTGTAAAGGACGTCGATTTAAAAATGAATACATATTTTTAGTTGGAATTTCGCGAATGACTGGATGTGTTTATCATCTCTTATAGCGACGAAAGTTACCCTCAGCATCACGTATGAGAGCGGCGTTGAGTGCCAAATGGAAATTTAAATAATCTGTCAGGGTTTCCTTTCTCAGACCACGAAAATTCTGATGGTTTCACGTTGTTGTTTCGCAGAGAACGGCCAAGAAATGTACACAGTTTTAAGGCGCTCACGTTAAACTATTTTTGTGCTCATTAAATCTTTATTTCGCCACGTCCTCGTTGCCGTCGCCGTGGTGGTTTGCCAAAGGTCCCTGATGATGAGCAAAGTTGCCCGAAGCAAATGAGGAAAACCGGAAAATGTGCTGATGATTGAGACAGATATACAGCTTTCAAAATTACCATTCGAGATGATTGTTAATGTTTTTGTACCAAGGCTGTTACTTGTATACAGAAAAGGAAACCTCGTTTCTAACATCATGGATGGCAATTTTTGGTTTGACGGCGACTTCTTTGTTCGAAATCTGGACGCCAGCGTGGAGCTCCGCCACTACCAATCGCTTTAAAAGGGATTTTTTTCTTTTTTTTCTCTTGACAGAACTTTCGTTCTTCTTTGAGCCTGTTTTTTTTTTCTCCTTTTTTACCAAGGGCTTTCTTCTGCTTATGATTTTTGTTTTAGCAACGATTTTTCAATTTCAAAGAGATTCCATGAGTGAATTTTGTAAAGTGCGCGATGTGGGCAAACTATGAAAATAACATGAAAATCGAGAGTTTGAATTCAGTTTACTCAAATAGAAGAAAGAATCGAATTTTTTCAGCCTCTGAAGGTGTGAAGTAACCTTAACATAGGAGTGAATCATGCAAATCACAACTTTTCAAAACAGTGTATTAGTTAGTCCCAGGGTAATTGAACGGCCACAATGATGTGACAGGTGTTGCTTCTTGTCATGACGAAACTTGGAAAATAAAGCAACAGGCGATCAAAATTGTTTCTTAGGTTTGGAATACATAAAGAACCTGAAGGAACGCACCAGCACTCACCAGCGCCATTTCGTGTTTTATTTCGTAAGCCCGGGCATTGATCCATCCTCTGACATTATAGGCTCTCTGGAACAGTGAGTTGATTGTTTTGTCCGTCAGGATTTCGTTTGCTGTCGTTTCCATCTGTAGTAGAAGTGAAACTGGGGAAATTTCTTTCGTCAGTTTAGCAACAGACGTCAACGAAATTACCAGTCTTCAATCACACCGCATCGATAGTTTATGTTAAAAAGTACCCTAAGAAGGGCCTTAAGCAATTCCATTATGTTTTTTTTTTCTTTTTAAACGACGGTCGCTCAAAATTGGCGTCTTTCTTTTATCATTTTCTGATCGTTTATCAAGCAAGTTATCTTTTCGCTGCCATTGAAACAGGTAACTCCGCCCACGCTCCTCCTGAAGAAGGCACCAGACAAGAGTGTCGAAACGTTGGGTCTGTGAATTGTAACTTCTTCGGTTACATTTAATAAATCTGTAGACCAGAGAAGCATCAAACCATGTCTGATTTTCCACCTGGTTGCAATGTGAACTTTAATATATCGGTAGAGTACTTTTACTCCTCAATACACTACAGACGGCAACGGTGGGGTACGGAAGGACCTGGATCGAGAACGGCGTTGTTCCCGCCAAAAACAAACCTTTAGGCGCGTCCATCACTTCACGACGGCATAAGTAGTGACGGTCATCAGCCGCTGAGTCTTTTCACGGATTTTTATCTGTAATATTTTTATATATAATTTAAATTAAAAATGGACAAGTTTTAAAATGTTCGAGATTTGCTTCAGCTAACTCACGATGAAAACACCATTTCTGATGAGAAATTCGTTCTTCTCTACGAATGTTTTCAGTAAAAAAAAAAAAAGATTTTTGTTACAAGTCTTACGATCAGTTCGACCAAGATGATATAGCCCTAAGCTGATTGCAAGGCGGAATTCCAAATCAAAAGGGCTGATCTTTGCCGACTTGGCGATGTGTTCCAAATTCCTCGGTGATTACATGCAGACAGAGAAGTATTTAAGGTGGTCTCGAGAGGTCGTGTGTGCTTCCGAGGCAAATGAGCTTTCTATGTGAGAAAAGTTACTTTTCTAAGTGAGAAAAGTTACTGGAAATTAAGTTTTTAATGTGGAGAATCTCACTAGTTCCTCAGAGAAGCAATAATGGCGTCGGTTCATGTACTCTGAGGCATAAACAGTGACAAAAAGATGTATTTGTCAAGTCCCAGTCAGAATCAACACAATAGTAGCATTGGGGATTATGTATTTTTCAAGGTGATAACCACCCTGAAGTTGTACACTGAATTTACTCAAGTCAGCATAAACAAGGTATAAACAACTGCTTCAATTGAACATATTTTACTCTACTCACAAGCAAAATATCATGTTCAATAAAAACAATTTTACAAGTCTGAAATTACTTATCGATCACCTTCTATAAAACCGCAAGAAACATGGTGTTCATTTGCTGTTGCTGTTGTAGGAGTACCTCCAAAACCTGCTGTTGACCCTCCTGTTCTTTCTCTTTTAGTTAAAGCTCCTGTTTTCGAACTTCACGGTCCGCATCAGCCTTTTCTCTCAAAAACTCTACGAGCGGTTATGCGCTTCTCTGGCCTGACTTGCGGCATTTTGGAGATCCATACTTTCGTGATTTCCGTTTCTTCGTCTCCCTTAAGTTTTCCATTGCCTTTTTTGGTATGTCGTCAGCCGTTTCTTTATCCTTTTCCTGTTGTTTAGAGGCAGAATCTGCGTCAGCTGTCGCGGTATCTTCTCTTGAAACTAAGTCTTCAAGGCGCTTCTTTTACTGTCAAATCATTCCACTACCCTTTTCTTCCTCATACATTTTCTTTGTGAGCGGGATTTTCGAGAGGGAAAAAACGGGAGAAACGCCATAACATTGCGTGATATTTGTCGACAGCCAAGTCCCTGTCAGGGACTTTGCCCTTTAGAAAAGATCTAGTAAGAGAGAGTACACAGAGGAGACACGCGGTTGCCAAGTATTTTGATAACTTCTTCTTCACAGGATCACACGTACTCACTTATGGCTGTAGTCACTCGTAGTTACCTATGGCCACTCGTGGTCACTTATGGCTGTAGTCACTCGTAGTTACCTATGGCCACTCGTGGTCACTTATAGTTACCGTAAAGTCACTCGTGTGTGCCTTTAAACAAGACCCGCATTATTAGCATTTCATAAAACGCGATACTTCAGGAAAGACAGTTACCCTCCGTATGCAAAATCATGAGATATTTGTGGCGAATGGAAAGCTTCATGGTGAGAACGTTCAATTCAAGGGGAAGTGTAATTTTTTGATGTTCTTGAATTATCCGGTTGGTTTATAATAGGGAGGGGGGGGGAGAGAGAGGAAGGATTTGCACTTTTTTCTCTTACTTCCTTTGATCAATTTTTGGAATTGAGTGGTGAGTTCCAACTGAACGCTGAAGCTGGTTATTATACAACACGAAACACAAAACTTACTTTGAGGAGAAAATACCGACAAGGTTTTTTCACTGACCGCTAAGTATCATAGTAAATGTCAGTAGAGATCATTTGCCTTAGACAGAGCAGCCTTGAACGGGAGTAACTAAGGTCTGGTCACATGCAAGCATCATAGTGCGTCAAAACCAATAAATAGTTGGTAACTAATTCCTATTGACACTATAGTCTTTCCGTAAGCAACATACTAAAGCATTTCAAACTGAAAGTTCAAGAATTATCATGGAACACTTTCTTCAAGTTCGAAAACTGAAAAATCTGCAACGCCTCGCTGCGAAAATGATTCGCAAACTTCTATGGCAGTAAAGGAAAAAATTGATCTGAAAAACTCTTTTTTTTTGGTTTAGTAAAAAGGACTGACCTGATTTGAGAACCTGTATTGTACAGGAATTGTGTATGTTTGTCGGTGACAGGAACTTGTCGATTCCATTTTACTCCTTAAAATTAATACTGATTAAAAGTTTTCAGTATTTTTAAGCTTACATGTGTGTCGCCGAGCATTACTATTATTACTATTTTTTGAACGCTTTTTATTTCTGCGAATCGAATCACGTGAAAATATTATTTATAAAAACCCCGCAGAAAACATCACGTGCCTTACAGTTGTGTAACTGGTCTGGACGAATAAACTTCTATTACTTTTCCTTGCAATAAATTGCAGTTTGCATATTTTTAGGTGAATATCCACAACTGATTATACGGGTTAACGCACAATATTCACAATATTCGATTCTTCAACAAAAAATGAATCATTGACGCGAATAACGAAATAATTGTCCTTGGCAAGTGCTCTTAAATTTGAGGAAGCAATAATCTTGCGCGTTGTCAGTGTACACGGCATGATCCATGGATAACTTGGAATCATGATGTGATTTTTACAATAAAGAACACAAGTAGCAGGTGTCACTCAATCAGATGTTTCTGAGACACTGCTGGTCACGTGTTAAGTATGAATCGTAACCACCGACCACATTTTCTTTAATTTCACCAACATTGTTATGAATATACATTGCATAGTTCACAGTTAGCTCAGTATTTTTAAGAAATAATTATTCTATCTCACTTGAATTTAACAACATAGCGATTGAATATCACACAGAGCTTCGTGTAGAACATTTACACTCGTACTTAAAAGACTACTTACAAATGAAAATCATAATTTCAAAACAGTCAAAAATTCAAAAATTGTCTTTTCTATTTAAGAGAAGACAAATCTCTCCGTGTTTACCTTAATGTGCACTGTCGGATAGGTTAGAATTTGTACAATTTGCCTCTATTCAAACATGAGTGTTATTATTATTGGGAAGAAACTGAAGCCTAAACCGCAGTTAGAATTGGTTTCTTTTTTCTAACCGAAAAACTGCATCCAGTTATACTGTTTATAACTAGATGTACTGCTTGATGTCTCGCTGGTGCTGGACATGTTTTTCTGCATTTTAGCCTCACCTTGCATTATTTTCATGTACAACCCTTTGCTTGCCTCTGGGAGAGAGTTTTGAGCGCAGTGTACGTGCATGCCTGGAGGAAAAAAGTCTGGAAATGCAATCTGATTGTTACCTTTGTCGCGCGAGGTAACAGATAAATTGCGCTTGAGATTTCGTTTAAAATAAGTGGAAGTATTTTCTGTATTTTCTCGATGTTTCTGCTGCTGTCTCTGCGTATTACTTAATCCCCAATATTCTTCTTCAGGAACATTTATATTAACTTGGAAGCTTTTGTCCTCACTGTGGTGAGGTAGGATTCCTAATATTCCAGACGAGATATTTTGTTTTGGTCTAGCATCTGAAACAGTTTCTTCACAATCTTCGTCGATCTCATAAATTGGTGGCAAATGTTTCGGAGAATTCCTTTTTCGTGTAAGAGAAGGTAATTTTGCGCTTCGTAAGTTTCTTTTGGCGTTCCTGCTGGACTCCTGACGATAAATGGTCATATTAATGAATTTCCTTCCCTTTCTGTGGAATATAACGCTTGTAAAAAGTCATCGTTGTACTTGGTAATTATCTTCGTGTTTCAATCGATTCACGTGAAATCGTCAGATGTTCCTCGTGAAGGTGTTTTGATTACGGCTTGAAATCATCGAGCAACACTCCACTCTGAAATAAGCAAACTCATCAAGCAGGAAAAAAAGAAGTCCGTTTCGGTGATTCCACGATTTTCATGGCAAGCGTAAATCAAGTTTACCCCAATTAGCCGAAATATGTGTTTCTTTATAGCAACTAGAACAGATTTACGCTAAGTTACCTGCCCACGTTTGATCCAGCGAGTTTAAAAATAACCCATATCCGCCAACTTGTTGTTCTAAGCGAGGTGCGAATGTCTTTGTGATTGGTTCCGCCAAAACTTGTTTTCTAGCCTTCCGAAGATAACTAAATGCATGTCACGTCTCTCAAATCGCTTTTTTTTACCTAAAGCAAGGGCTGTTTGGTTTCCGAAGACGCCGAAAATTAATTCAGCTATCGACAAAAAAGCTTTTCACAACTACGCTGTTTTCTTTATTGACCCAAAAATCTAATTTTGGCTTCTATTCAAATGGGATACTAGGAGGGGAAATATTGCTGTCATTTCATTTGTTTTAACGACGATAAATTTTTGAGAAGATAGCAAAACAGGTCTCATGCCTATTATAATCGCGACATTTG